TGAGTCAGAAAGAACTGACTCAATGGCACCTAACAACAACAACATTACATTAAAAAATATATTGAAAAAATAAGAAACAGGTATTCTTGGCATCTGATAAAATTCATTTATAATATTTTCAGGTACTTTGAGTGCAGTAGCCATGACTGGTCCACTCACGGGCTTTCTCCTGGGATCTCTGTTTGCTAAACTCTACGTGGATATTGGATATGTAGATCTAAGTAAGTACAGCCAGAAGAAGGTAATATGATAGTTAATTTCATGTCCGAACCACCATTTTTCCAAATAATTGAATTCACTCCTTCCATAGCCCTTTGCTTACCATTTCTCCAAATTTACAAATAGGAAATAAATGTATTAATAATCTCAATAAAAAGGAAAGAAAAATTAAGCTTCTATCTACACCATGCTTTTACAACTAATTATAAAATGAGGAAATTTAGACAAACTTGTTTTGGATTACTTGATCTGAAACAACCAAATTGAAAATGCTCCTCTCCCAGAACTGACTGCTCCATCAGGTAGGTTCCGTTTTTGCACGGATTCTCGTTTGGATGTTGTGGTGCAGAAGTTACAGATTCCTTTGCTAAAGCCTCTCTGTTGCCACTTGGTTGACTCATGCCTGGAGTGGTTTGAGAGACTCCACTGTTCGCTTCGTTTTTGGTCACTTTCTTGGGGCCTAACACAGGGCTTGGCATATGGCAATATTTAATAAGTGCTTGTCGAATGAATGTATGAAGGAATTCACACATAAATGACATCTATGATCTTCCTCTTCACTCTTGGAGCATGCTTTCCTTCTTATGTCATGGAAGAAATAACCATTTGTGCCACCCAGGGACATCATGGGGTATATTTTATAGAAAAGTAGAATGTAGAATTGAAGAGGTAAAAAGTAATAAGAAATAGAGGCCATGTTAAGGGAACTGCCTCAACTTCAGAACATCCTTCCTATAGGTTGGTGGATTGAACCTATCCAGAGGCACCTTGGAAGACAGGTGTAGCGATATGCTTCCAAAAGGTCATAACCTTGAAAACCCTATGAAGCAGTTCTACTCTGCACACATGGGGTCATCATGAGTTGGAGTCGACTCAAAGGCAACTAACAACAACCACCGTATAATGTACTAACAATGCCTAACTAATAGTAGGTCTCTCAATATGCCCTGTAACCACTCGTCTCTGGGTTTACACTTGGAAAAGCTTATCTCTCTTTTCCATCTGCATAGCTCTTAAAATCTCTTCCAAAATGTGGCTCCTCTTCAAAGAAGCCTTATTTCACCATCTCTCACTGGCCCAAAGTTAGATGCCTCTTCCCTCCTCTCTGGTCCTTTTGATCACCAAGAGCATCAGTTTATTGTAGCCTTTATCAAAATGAATCATAAATATTTGTGAACTTATCTGTCATCTCTTTTAGAACATGACAGAATGACATCTAGCTTAACATATAATAAGTGATTAGTGTTTGTGAATAAGCAAACCTGACTTTCTATTTCACCAGGCCTTCAGAAGATCACTCCAAGGAAATCAAAGGATTCATCTTCTGATGGAGTTGATCTCACATTAGGCCAAGAGTAGCCTGAAATTTGAAAGTGTTTGGTAAAATAAAGCTGAAGCAACTACCTGAGGAAGTGTTATCTATCTCGTATTTTAGATGGTGAATTAGAGCGGGGGAAGCACTGGGGGTTCAGTGGTAGAATTCTCACCTCCCGTGGAAGAGACCTGCATTCAATTCCAAGCCAGTGCACCTCATCGGCAGTCACCACATGTCTGTCAGTGGAGGCTCGAGTGTTGGTATGATGCTGAACAGCTTTTAGCAGAGCTTCCAAATGAAGATGGACTAGGAAGGAAAGCTTGGCCATCTGCTTCTGAAAAGCAGCCAAGGATAACCCTATGGACCGCAATGGTCCCATATGAACAGGTCATAGAGATAGCACAGGATCAGGCAGTATTTTATTCTAATGTACCTGGGGTTGCCGTGAGTTGGGCGAACTTGTAGGGCGGATAACAACAGCAACATTCTGTACAATATGGTTATGCATTCGCCTTTGATTCATCCTTTTTTTTTTCCTTTGCGAAGAGTACAGAAATAGATGCTAATGGTGTTTAGAATGATAGTTTTGTAACTTCTCTACTACACTCAGAAATCATTACAGGCAGTCCTCAGGTTACGAATGAGATCGCTCCTAAGTGTCTCTTTAAGTTGAATATGTAGGTAAATCAGAAAAGGTGCATATGGTTCTTACTTAGCCTTACTTTAGCAAAGGGAGCCCTAGTGGCACAGTGGTTAAAGCACTTGGCTGCTAACCCAACAGTCAGCAGTTCTAACCCACTAGCTGCTCCACAGGAGAAAAATACGGCAGTCTGCTTCCATAAAAATTTACAGCCTTGGAAACCCTATGTTGCAATTCTACTCTGTCCTACAGGATCTCTATAAGTTAGAAAAAACTTGACGGCAGTGAGTTTGGTTTTCTTGGGTTAATGCAAGAAAAGGCTCAAAGCCTTTTCAATTATTTAATAGCTGCATGTGCAGCAAGTGGAGGTGATTATGATAAAGAATTTGTTGCTAGTAGGGATTGGTTCAATAATTTCAAAATGAGGACAAATTTGCATAACATTAAAGGGCAAGTACCAGCTGTCAGTTAGTTCGACATTTGTAACCTGGGGACTTACTGTGCTCACAGTATTTTAGAATTCCTGATGGTTCTTTTTTTTAACCACTGAATGTTCAGACCCTATTACATCCTTCCTTGTTCGCTGATGAGTATGATATGAACATATTATGAAGTACATTTTGCCAAACTCCAATGCCTAAAGGAGCCAAAGCGGTAACACAAATGAGTAAAGGGTGTCAGGTATAGGAAACTCGGGTGTGATGGGTGAACTGGGAAGAACTGGTGGTGGTGAAATACTCTCCCTGCCAAAAGTGTATGTGCTACTCAGCCCCAGCCTATTCTCTTCATGTAGAAATTTGGGTCCAGCAATGACAAGATCTTCTGACTGGTTTTCAAGAAAATTCTGAAACTCAGAGTTTTATATGGAATTACCCAATTTTTAAGACAGTATATGAACTAAGGAAAATGTTTTGTCAAGCCATATCTAGAAAGGTTATGACCTTTAGTCTCTGTGTGGAGGCCAATGATGGAACAGGAAAAATGGCATCAAACGGGCATCTTGACAGATCATAAATAAGTATTTAGCCTGTAGATAGAGTCACTGAT